AGCGTACCACTGAAATCTGCACACACGCGCGCACTCGCTCGCCCCCCCACTTATAAACAAAGCTTCCTAAGGACAGGAAATCCTTCCACCCACGTTCCTGTGTTGCTTGGCAACCAGAGCAGCGTCACCGTGTGCATGCCTCTGCCGCTGAAAACGCACAAACAAGCAGACAGACACACACACATTAAACTGCAACTCCTTAAACGCCGCTCCTTTAAAAGCACCGAAAAAGAAAATCGCCAGATCGCAGAGCCAAAGCCGAGCAGACTGATACTCGCCACAGCTGCCCTCCGATTCGTCAGCTATGGATCTACACCAAACATGACATCACCCCTTGTAAACATAAAACACTTTTTCCCCCTATTTATGAGCTCTATTTTTACACCCGCTGACGTCTTTCTATGCACGATGCTGCGCGTGCGCGTTTGTGTGTGTGTGTGTCAGTGAGCATTTATGTGCGTGCACTATCTAAGGATGCGACCGCCAATAGCTCAGCAGGACTTAAGGAGAGAGGGGCTAATTGAGCAGAGGTGCCCAGCACTGTGGACAATGAGTCCATTTCAAATCAGCAGGAGGCCTATTGAAGACAATTATAACCTGGGGGATACAGAGGAGCATTATTCTTCTAAGCCATCTCGGCTACTTTGGCCGGCTGCGTTTCCACTGCAATTTACAGCCCGTCTTTTAACTCTCCGGTTGCATTAACATGTGCATGAAAGGCAAAGTTCATCAGCCCTAATCAATCACAGCGGGCTCAGTCATTAACTAATAAATAATTCCTGAAATACAACGATTACCGCAAACACACAGAAGGAGCGGCTTTCTTCTTCACTGCAATCAATAAAGCACCGCCACAAGTTCAAGTTTACAAGTTGTTTCTTGTAAATAAATAAAAACTCACGGTATATCTAAAAGTCGCATATTTAATTTGTTGTCATGCATATTTGCCAACTGACGATGCTTATTCAGGAGAGAATCAAAAGACACTTCCCATCACAGTTGGTGCATTTACCAGTGAGGCGACGGCGTTAAAGATGCTTTTGCTTAATGGCTCGTGCTAAAAATTTTCCCGGCTTGCTATCAGTGTTTTCAGAGTCAGGAGTTCCTGACTGAGTTTTAAAAGATCTGAAGTCAGCTGGGACAACACTGAATCTCGGGGCACTGTTGGGTGCTTAAAAATCGCTATTAAGAAGTTCAATTATTTTTGGAGCTGCTTTGCAGCTGTTAAGTAAAAAAATACGGCGAGTGGGAGTATTTTAGCATCTCGTGGTGGACTACGGATTACAAGTATAGACTGTATAACTGACCCACTGGTTAGCAGACCTGAGCATTTCTGAAACCAGATACCACATATAACAACAACAGGTAGATCTGATTGTGACACTCACTGGATAATTGAGTGTCAGTCACACAGAACAGCTGCTTTGTCCAGCTTTTGACTCTAACGGGGACAATAATTCACAAAATTTGAATGTTTTATTCAGTAAGATTTAAATAAACCATAAGCCATAAACGTGTTGAGAAAAAAACATTGACAAGGTGACAGAGAACGGGAGCTGAAGGCTGTTTTCTCATAGACTGTTTTGTACTTTGATAACTATGTCCATCTTTTATATACAGTCTGTGATTCCAACATTAATGAAACAAAAGCTCTTTTTTCATCTCTGAGTGGAAATAAGTAGGAGAAAAATAATCTCAGTTCATAAACTAGCATGTTAGTTAACAGTCCTGACATTATGGCAAGATATGCAGAGATTTCAAGTAAAGCTAGCATGCTATTCAGCTAGCCCTGGCCTGTGCTGTTTTGTAATACCACACTTTACTTCAGCGCCTACCTGTAGCGTACAATCAAGAGGGGCTTATGTTGCCTCAGAGAATTTAGCAGTGTAGAGGTGGAAATATAAACCTTGTATAACTACACAAGGGTGGCTGTAGCTTCTCCTGTAGCTGTCGCCAATCTCAGGGTCAGCTTTGCTATTTTTGCTGCTAGGTTAGCAAGGTCCATAAAATGCTAATTTTCTCAAAACTGGAGCACTCACTTCTTGGAATTTCTGTTGGTTAAAATGACTCTAACTCATACCGTCAGATAATTGTCTGAATTATTATTGTCTGAATTCACTTCAAAGTTCCAGTGTGGTGACTCATATTAGCTCAAGTGGCGCTTACCCAACAGCTACCGGCAACGCTTGCTTGTCGTGGCAACCATCCACCGCGCATTGCAGCCATGCTTATAATACTTAATCACTTTAAGCATTAATAACACTTCAAAAGGCTCCGCCTCTGTACAGTAGTTATGAAGAGGAAATTACCCATAAAGACCAAAAACATATTCTACCCAGGCTCTGAACGTGCTTTTTAACGTTGTTAACTAAGTTCGGCATTTTAACAGTGGCGTCTATGGGGAATGCCCCAAGTGGACATTCAGAGGAACTGCAGTGTTTGCCCCTGTGTTGAGCTCATTTCTAAATGTTGCCACCAGCCAAATGCTCCACTGAGGGCAGAGTGGACTAAACAGTAAAACATAATTCTCTCTTGTATACAGATATATTTAGTTTGAAACAAAAATATTTCAATATAGTATCCAGTTACTACAAACCAGATCACGGACCACAGATGTCCACTTTAAGTGGAAATTTCTTAATAAAAAAGTACTCCATTACACAAAGTAGTGATTATATTTGCACCTGTGTCTATGCATCAATGTATTTTGGAAGAAAGTTTTGCTACATGGTAAAATTCAAGGGTTTACAATGAGGATATTGGCTAACAATAAATATAAATAGTGTAACCATATTTAGTTTGACCAGGCAGGAATCAAACTCTTTACAATGGAAGTAGCAGTGCGATCGTCGTCTGTGCACTGCCTTGCTCTGAGCCCAGATATGGGCCGTATCTTCACACAGCACAACAGCTGATTTAACTATAATCTGGTACTTTTTTTCTCCATTGTTTTTTTCCGCCAGTTTACCTTCGTGCTGTGTCCTCTTTTCACCTATAAAACTTAAGAAGTCAGGACATTTTTTTTCTCACTTTTGCTGATAAGGTGCACTTCTGTAGTGTTTACCTTTCAGAACTAAATGTGCTGTAGCCTCTGCTGTATACTTTGTTCTGACGCTGCATTTCAGACACACACGTGGCTCAAAGCCACAGCTGACCAGAGCGCTTACTGCGTAGCTCTGAGCCTGACCAGTGCAACGAGAAATATTAAAACTGCCATTTTTTTGAGTGTTTATGTTGAATAAATCACGAGATGACATCCAATAAAAACTGTATTCAAACTGCATACTACTCAATTCATTCACACATGAATTATAGATCCATTATGGGCTGTTTTAGCTGTGCTGAGGGAATCAGACAAACAACAGTTGTGCTGAGAGCACTAACCCACTGATCCATCCATACCAATTATCTGTGTCTAGGGTGGAGTCTGAATTCAATATTCAATTTACACAGTTCAATCTCCCATCAGAGCTTCCAGCTGGAAAAACTAAAGGCGTCAAAACGGCCATAACGGACAAAAGCGGCATAAGCCTCGTCTGAGAGCTTCAACTGTCTCCAAAGTGAAAAAGAAGCGGGCTAACTGAACGTCGCACCACAGGGGTGTCCATTGAGAGACAGTGAGAGGTGGAGGGGCGAGAACTCCATTGAGCTCAGCCATGGGGGGTCAATATGTGAATGAACGTTTGCCATGGAGGTGAATTATGAATGAGCAGCTCTCGCAGCACTCCTGGAGAGAGCATGTCAGCCCCCCTGTCTCCTTCACTCCATCCTCTCTTGCTTTCTTTCCATTTCTCCTCCTCCTCCTCCCCCTGCTGCTGTCCTAAAATCTCCATCATCCTCTCCTCTCCCCTCCGTCTCTGTCTCATTTCTCGCTACTGGATTAATCTTCTCATCTGCCTCATTCTTGGTCAACTGATCTCCCCTCCCCAAACCTCCTCCACCTCCTGTCTCCAGACCGGGTTGAGAAGGGGGGGGTGTGATGGAGGTAGAGACACACGCCGTCTGTCTGAGAGAGACGACAAAACCCTCGTCCTAATGAATTTGCGCAAATTCAGTAGGACGCACACACACACACGCACCCGTGCACACACACAGTGGCACATAAGATAATGCAAAGGCAAACATTCCTGCATGTGAAAAGGCAGATGCATGCATTAAGTGTAAGGCTTTCAGACACACACACACACACTTCTCCCAGCTGTTCTCCTGGCCACAGAGCTTGTGTGTGTGTGTGTGTGTGTGTATTCGCGTGTGTGTAATCCAATGTGCTGCTGCTCAGCCTGTGCCATGCTCTCTCCTCTGTTGCTGTGCGTCTGATCAGATCTGCCTCCGTCAACCTGTTTGCCGTCTATGGCTCACAGACACACACACACACTTTTTCTCTCCCTCTCTATTTCACACACAGACACACACACACACGTTTCAGAAGCTGTTACTACTTATCAAGCCTCCTTCAAGCTTGGGAAAAACAACATTCATTCAGCCTTGGTTTCGCCGCCGCCAAGTGATGTGTTACCTGCTGCACTCCAAACACCTGAGCGCACACACACACACACACACACACACACAGTGAAAGAAAGGGGAAAACGGACTTAAAGAGAGTGTTTTGCCCCTATTTTTCTCTCCTTCAGCCTAAAGTAGCCTACCAGGAAAAAGAAAAAGTGCGTTTGTGTTGGAATGAGATCACACTGTTCCCTTAAAAAGTATCCACTCCTTTTGATCCCTTCACTCCAGTTTACAGCGGTCACTTCAGCTCACTTTGGCCCCTTTTTTAGCTTGTGGAAAACAACCTTCATAACTCTCTCTTTCTCTCTCTCTCACACACACACACCTGTATACTTACATACTTACAGTGACACACACACACACACATGCACACGCACCTCCACAGCACTTCCCTTTAAGTGCAGAGCCGTGCAGCACATGTCATCATCACACACACACTCACACACACCTCTGCCAGACCTGCATTAATGCCACAAAAAGCCCAGTAAAGTCACCTTAGGATCCTTCTGTGTTCCAGACGAGCCCCTTCTTCACACTCTTCCTCTCCTCTTTTAGACTTCTCTCTCCTCCTCTCCTCCTTTCCTTCCGTCCTTCCTACCGTGCTATCCGTCAGTCCTTCTTCTCCCTCTCTCTCTCTTTCACTCTTCGTTTCGGTACTCGGTCAGTTCCCAGCGTTTTTCCCGAGCCCCTCCATATCCGCCCAGCCAGTCGTTTCTAACCGCCGAGCAAGCGTACCTACACACACACACACGCAGACACACACAAGCCGCTTCTGCGTTCCTATGGTCTCTCTCGCTCTCTCCCTCTGTTTATTCCTCTCTGAGCTCGCGCTCTCCCTCTCTCTCTACTGTCGGAGAAGAGCTCGGTGAGCGTGTGTATGCGCAAGTTTGTGTACGTGTGCGCGCGCGTGGATGTGTGTGTTCCTGTGCTGTGCCTGCTTTGCCCCGCCAGCAGCAGCAAGCAGCAGAGGACTTCCCCCGGTGCCCGCCCTGGGTCCTAGAGAGAGCTCTGTTCCCTGAAAGAATGCCATTGTGTACGGAAGACATGTCCAAAGATCGTCTATAATCTTAACAAGACGATTCATTCACCAGTTTTTTACCACACACACACACACACACACACACACACACACACACACACACACACATATATATGTAGTAAAAAAAATGCAGTAAAAAAAGGTAATATGATAATATTAAAGTATAATGATTATCATATTACCTTTGATTTAATAATAAATCTTCTAAATCTTCAGTAAGGTGCATTTTGAACACACAAACATTACTAAATTAAGGAACTAATATATCTATCTATATAGATATAGATTACATAGATACAAATAATTAAGTATTAGAACATAAGAAGGCTATTCAACAAAAGGTTCGTTTAGCCATTATGACATCCAAAGGTAAAATGTGGGATTTTATTTATTTATTTATTTATCTTTAAGCCAGTAAGTTGTTTTGATTCTGTACCCAAGTGGTCGCTATGGCAACAGCAGGGCAGAGAGGCAGATGCAGGGAGTCATGCAAGGGAGTAGAAGCTGTTATAGATGGCGGATGGAGGGGCATTCTGTCCTTTTGCACATCAACTAGACTGAGCTCCGTTGGACGCATTTGCCCGGGTCATAAATCACATTTTCATTTGCTCATGTCAAGTAGCCTTAACACCGCTTCCTTTACCTTCTCTGTCTCTCTCTCACGCACACAGGCACACGCACACACGGGGTTCACTCGGGTCTACTTAGAAAAACTTGACTGCGTCGCCGTGTGAGGCAGAAGTACAGCACCTTTAAAATATGGCGTACGCCTTTCTTTCTTAACAGAGTGAGTCATCTTCTTGAACTCGTTTAATCTCCCGTGCAGCTACCGTCTTCCTCATCTCCCTCCCCCTCCCTCCTCTCCTTTCCCCATCCTGCCTCAGAGCGTCATCAGGTTACCATAGCAACGGCCCGCCTATGGGAGACAGAGATCAGATCATTATGGACCATGGGATCCAGAAACTGAAGGACATGATTTATTTTTTTTCCCTGTGAACACAGGAAGCAGGAACCCTTAACAGGAAGGCTTGAACACCTTAGTTAAACAGCCAGAGTAGTGAGAACTTTGACTGAGCAGGTTTTTTGACCGGCAAAAAGCAGCTTTGATAATCCATTTAAACCCTTCAATAACATAAGTAATGCGTGCCTACCACTCCTGCACGTTGCTAAAAATAGAGTAAACTTCATTAGATATGCAAAATAGGGTGCTTTGAGATGTAAACACGTAGCCTCCAGAAACAGTTCACCAGAACTTGCTTGCCACACTTCTGAATTAATGAATCTGACAGACGTGGCAGTGATCAGCCCACTGAGAGCCCACAGCAAGGAAATCCAAATGTGCTCTCTTTTTATATATATGGACGGGGAAATGGAAGCGGGCAAAGTGCGGTGCTTCAAGTTGAGCTCAAAACGCACCAAGGAAACTGTTTTGTTTAATAAAGATCAAAGACGAGTGTTGGGAGAATGAAGTGTGTTTACAGGCCCTCATATCCAGGCTGCTTCGCCGTGCCCCTATTATTAGAGGGAGGCCGTGTGTGTGTGTACGTGTTTGCATGTGTGCTTGTATTGCAAGCCTAGGGGGCTGCATTAAGCTGAAGCGACAGAGGGGGATCTTTAAGATGTCTTCCAAAGTTTGCTATTGAGGGAGATCTTATCTCTGAGCCCCACAAACAGCCTGGGAGAGGAGAGACGAGCCGAGGCTTAAGACAGTGAAGGAAAAACAGAGTCCAGGTAGCAGCACAGCTAAACAAGATATGTGTGATGATTTTACTCGTCAGCTACTGGTTATCTTGTAAGTTTTAAGACTGAAACTGGGATCAAGTCATTCACTGCCGTGCACATACACACCAATAGAGCATTTATTACAGGTTTACTATAGTCACCAATGATGCAGTCAACTACGTCAGTTATTGATCACACAGATATAACCCGGGTGATTAAATCAGTCAGGTTACTACTTTGATCCAGCACCAGAGGACCAAGTGTGTTTGGCATGTAGAGTGATGGGTAATTTCAGCAAAGAGTCCGTTCAGTTCAGAATTCGGATTAAAATCAGCAGGAATTTATTTAATAATTGAAATGCTGAATTGTTCTTGTTCCGCCCCTGTCATCAAACAGCCAATCAGCAATAGGATGGAAAAAAGAAGCATTGTTGTCCCACTGCATTTGGACAGCTAAAGTTCCCCAGTGTTTATTGGCACACAAATTTTTAATCTCCAAGTCTGTGGTTATCATAATGAGTAAGTAGACAAGTGTAGTCATTGTATTTCTTGGCTAGTCTTAGCCACAATGTGAATTAGCCTGGCACTGGCTCCAGGCTCTGGTGGGTTAAGCCAGACAGGAAGATCATGTCAACACATTAAGAAAAAGCCTTAGTGTTATGAAAATGTGCCCACATGAAAAACTAACTTGCGGTGAAGAAAAAGATGCTTACAACCTATTTTGCCACACAAAGCATATTTTATCAAATACAGCAGGGTTTGAAAAACTAGGCAGCAACCTCTGGGGCTAAAGAACGGACTGTACTGGACTCATTTATAGGTATAAGCATTTCAAACTGCCAATAAAAATAAAGAAATATAAAAGAGTCGGGAGAAACACCCTTCAATCATGTCGCGAGTGTTGATGTTGCACAGTTTGTCCACCAGAGGGCAAATTCTGTGTCGGCAGCACACGTTTGGGATGCAAAAAACAACAACCAGCTGATCTGGTTTTTATGTCCATGTGCTCTCTAAAATAACTAAACTGCTATATGCCCTGTTGGAAGTTCCATGAATAGCCACTCGAGGCTAGCTCCAAACTTGGACAGTTTAATAGATCGATGTCACCCACTGGTTAGTAAAGTCCTATTATGAAGCTCCAGTTGAATGTTTTCGCTGTTGTCATTTTGTTGTGATGGCCTAGACCAGATCTGTTTGTGAAACCACGTTCTCATTGGCGAATTACTTCTTAGAATGACTATAATTTATAAAACTGACTTAATTTTTTAATCAATATAAGGAGAAATGAATGACTGAGGCCATAATCTCATCAGGAAACTGTTTACAGAGTTCAGAGCCAATGAAGGACTTCCTGCAGACTTCTGCAGGACTGGAAGTCTTTTTGGTCTCCATTAGATGAATGCTGAGTTAAGATACTTCTACGTTACCTTCAAACCTGGAAGCTTGGTCTTTGATAGTGTTTGTGTCTTCAAAAGAGGGCTACTATTTAACTCAATACTGGATGCAATTTTAGTATTTTATTTGTATATTATTATTAGAAATGGTAGCAGAGGTTCTTTGTTTTAGCAGTCCTGTCCACAGTGGGACTGGAACATTTAATTAAGTGGTTATAAATGTCTGTCATTATTGACAGTTCATTTAAATTACATTTCAGTGATGCATTTCATTTGCCGCTTAACACATATACAGCCGAACTGCAACAGAACAGCACGATAGGGAAGGAGAAATGGAGAGAGTCTGTTAAAGAAACCCAAGCTGCTGCTACAGACAAACATATTATTTTATGATCACAACATTGTCAGATAAAATTAACTAAACTGCAGGTGTTGCCAATCCACAGACTGCATTTACGCTAGGCTGACACCTAATCATGCAAGCCAGACTTCCTCCAGATGTGCCACAGTACAAATTATGGTATTTCGGTTTACTGTGTATGCATTGATGCCCTCTATTAATATGTGTGTCCTTTAACCACAAAAATACACGTTTACTTATTTATGTGTTGTGTTTCAAAGCAGCTCCATCTTGGGTCAGCATGCTGACAACCAGTTAATTACATATTGTGACTGTGGCATCACTCATGATGATTTCAATTATGCTCAACTAAACACTTCTAATCACAAACTACATTGCTGCATCCACCTGAAACCCAAATAAATCTCCAATATCTTTTTGGATAGCGAGAACATGACAAACTGCTTGCATTATTGGGTTCTACTTTGTTTAACAATGCCAGCGCCCCCAAAACTCCAAGAGCTAATTAGTTTTTAGTTGTACCAGTAATTCCCAGCTGGTCTTTACTAGCTGAAACAAGTAGAGCCTGACTGGTTTATCTGTGAGCTGATATTATCAGCAGATATTAGCTATTTGCCCGTGTCATGATATCAGCATGTATAACTGCCAATGAATAATAACAATTATAAGAGGAATTGACAAGGGAAACACCCTTCAACCATTTTACAAGTTTTGATGTTGCATAGTTCAACCACCAGAGGGCAACACACATGTTTGGGCAGCCCGTTCTCACTCCCGACGCGTAACACACTGACGATTTGTCACATCCTGAGGCGTTCCATGGGAATAACTAACAGAAACAAAACAGAAACAGAGATGCAGGGAGGCACGACAGACGGAGAGACGCAGACGAACCAGCAACGAGGACGAGGTAACACACACTATAAATACACACAACAGGAATCAAGGGATGGGAAACAGGAGGGGACCACACCTGGAAGACATCACAGCTGACGAGGCAGGGAAACGTAAACAGAACGCACTGACATCAGACAGGGACCTTCAAAGTAAAACAGGAACACATACACGCAAAGGCACAGACTAAGAAACGCGAACTAAACACGGAGACCTTACTACACTAAAGGGGACACACAGGCAGGGATGACACCAACCAGAGGGAACACAACTAAACCCTGGGAAACCAAAACACAACAGTCATAATACATAAAACTATCAAAAGTAAAAGTACAACAACCAAAA